AAAACAGCATAACACAATCATAATGCCTCTTCAAATCCATCTCTCTTATCTTTTCATATTCCAGAACCCTGCAGATAAATTCTGAATCAGTTTCTTGAAGATTTCTTTTCGATACTCTACAAATGGCTCGCCTGAAAATTGACTACAGCACCTACTGCTGGTTTTTTCAGGTAATAACAGTGTTAAGTTTGGTTTCTGTAGTTATCTGGCAATGTCTAATCCCAAGAAATCCATCTTTCACCATTGTAAACTTACACTTCCCTTCTGTAAATTCTAAGAATTCCTCTGCTGGAAACTCCTCTATAGTACTTATTTATTTCAAAATCTCGAATCCTAGCAAAGGTATGTGCATATACTATGATCGAATCTTCTTGAATTTATATTTCAAAGGTGTCATTGTTGGGACAAATTCTACACCACCATTTTATCAGGGGAAGAAGAAAAAGACTTCATGGAAAATACCTATTAATGCCATCTCGGCCGTGGCTGACCGATATTTTCAGCAAGGACTAAGAGCTGGAAATGTTAAAGTGGGGGTGGAAACTGCAGTTAAATTTAAAATATTCAGATGGAAAACGAAGTTGCATCGGATAGGATGTGAAGCATATTTGAAAACTATGAAAATCAGTCCCAATGGGAGTTTATCGGGTGGGAATGATATAAAGCTGCACAAGATATTGAAGTCAGGCTCTAGAGTGTGAAATTGAGTTTTACTCATCAAGGTGCAAACACTAAATAGTTATGAAATCAAATTTGAAACTTGACTTTTCTTTTTCTTTTGTCCACTGAGTAAATACAAATGCGTTATAGCAGCGGCGATGTTAAATATTTTTAACAAAAGATTTAAGCCAATTATAAAAATTGTGTCACAATCAAAATGAATCTTCTTTTAACTATTTAAGATTTTAGACGAACTACAAGATTTTTCTACGATTTTAACATATATTATTATTATTATCATCATCATCATTTTTAACAGTTCAACATGATATATAACTTACTAGTATATAGCTTTGAGTGGAGCATTCATCAAGTCCCATACAAGTTAAAATAACAAGTAATAGCAAATTAAGATGACATCAAGAAGGAAAAATTCGACTCAGCATAACCTTATCTTTCAAGCTTTAGCAAAAGTATAACATATCATGTTACTCTCTTTCTATGTCATCTCATTTTACTTGGCTAGCGTGGTTTACTATTTATTGCGTCAGCTCGAGGGTTTACCCAGTGCGCAATAAAAGGGTAGTGGCTGCGGATTCTCCTGTCGTATAAAAAAAAATAAATTGGAAGAAGAAGCTGGTGTACCATAGCACTGAATCTCAGCAATGACTGAATACAACTGTCAGCTAATGACCACAAATTTTAACGATTTAAGACATCAAGAGTAAGATAAAAGAAGAAGAAAATGGTTGACTTGGTCAGAGTCACATGGTTCATTTTCTACCAATTGTTCTTGAAAAAAAATACAGAATTCATACCCTACGTGCACCCAGTCCACACTTGTAGATATAGATGAATGACATGAGAGGCTGGTATACACTAGGACTGAATCTCCAGTGCCAACACAGTTGAACTGCCACGAACATAGAGGTGGCAAGGCTCGGCCCTTAATCCCACGAGCTCGTGGCGAGCCGAGCTCAGGCCACGAGCTCTTGGGCCGAGCCGAGCTTGGACTCGAGGGCTTGTCTTTTTTTTTTTTTAATTAAGTGTAAAAGTGTTAAAAATAAAAATAAAATGTTAAAAAATTATGATTTCTTGACCATATAAAAAGTGTTCAAAAATAAAAAATAATTTAACAAAAAACAATTTTTTATTTTTTTTAGTTATATCATATGATTCATATTGTAATACTTTTTATAAAGTATAAAATATTTATATAATGAAAACAGATTATATTTTGAAATACATTTACAAAAAAATATTTTTTTTATTTCTTTTTAAAGTTAATAAAATGTAAACCCTCCTCCTTTTTTCGGGTTTGGGACCGGCTACATCAATTTTAAGTAAGCGGAGTAAAAATTGTTCACGAACAACTTGTTGTAACGTGTACAATTTTTTAAAGAAAATTAGATTTAACGATTAAAAAATAATGAAATTTTGATTAACATAATTAAATCAAATATCACTTACCTGACGACATGCAATTTCAGCGTGTTTATCTTGTAGTCGAAAATGAGTGTCCTGCCAATCCTTCGCGCACATTAACGCTTCCAAAAACATCTTCTTTCAGTCGGCTCCTGACATTGGTCAAAACCCTTTTACCTGCATTAAAAGCAGACTCCGAAGCAAAAGTGCTAACAGGAGGTGTCAGCATATCTTTCGCAATTGCAGAAACAATTGACCAACGTCTTTCATACTTTCGCCAAAATTCAATTACTTCTTCTGAAAATTTTTTAATTGTTCTGTCTATTGGCATATTATGATTGAAATAATCAATTAATTCGGCAAGCATCGCATTTTGAGTTTCGACCGATGTTTGATGAGATGCAAATGTAGATGACATGGCATTAGATGAATACATTGCATTTGCATCATATCTAAATGTATTAATACCTTGAAATAAATTCATTATTTTCGCAACATTTTCTTCAGTTTCAGCAGAAGGAATAGGTGCAGTAGAGGGTACCCGACTAACATTTGCACCCATTGTTTCCGCATATAAATCATACATTAAACATAATGTTTGCTCTAAATTATTATAAGTGATTGGTGTATCAAGTATTAAAACTTTATTGATTTGATCAATTACGTATTTAGTTCCCGAAATATTATATCGGGGGTCCATTGCGCATGCTAAAGGAAATAACATAGGTAGCCCTTCCCAATATTTTCTAAATTTTAATTCCATAGCAATTAAAATTTCACTAAAAGCAGGATCATTTTTATATTTATGGAATGTTCTTGCAATTATATAAAGGCATTCAAGCACCATACAACTCGTGGGATAATAAACGCTGAATAAAATCTTTATGGTCTCATAAAAAGATGTCAAAAATCGTTTAACTTTCAAAGCTAAAATCCAATCAGATTCATTTAATATACCATCGTCATCACTTCTAACATGTCTATTATTATAAAAGCCAGTTATTAAATTTTCGAAACCTTCACATGATTTTAATAACAAGTATGTAGAGTTCCATCTATGACATACGTCGCTAACAAATATTTTAGCAGTTGTCACCCCTAGTTCGGCACAAAAATCTTCAAATGCTTGTTTTCTACTAGGATAAATCGTAATATATACTAATGCATTCCCAATTCTTTGAAGTTCATCATTTATATGTTTTAAACCATCTTGCACAATTAAATTCAAGATATAACACACACAACGAATACGAAACAAATACCCACCGAAATCAGGTTGAAGTGTCCTACATAATTTATCGACGACTACCTTATTAACACTAGCATTATCAAAAGTAAAAGATCGAATTTCAGTCTCGCAATGATATTCTCTAACAATATTGATAATAACATTATATATATTATTAGTATTGTGAGAAAACTCAATAATTCTAAAAGCAATAATTTTCTTATGCATGTATCAAAGTGGATCCATATAGTGTGCACTTGCAGCTATATATGCTATTTTATTAACCCCTTCTCATATATCAGAAGTTAAAGATATAACACCCCCATATTGTTGCAAATCTATAATTAATTGTTGTTTTGAATTATTGAAATAATTTATTGTATCGACACGAAGAGTGTTTCGACTTATCCCGACGTACCTCGATTGTAGATATTCTTTCACGAACGAGACGAAGTGTTGGTTGTTTACAATAGCCAGAGGCAACTCAGTGGCGGCAACAAATTTCACCATTCCAATTCGAGTATTGTCCTCCGAATACACCCATGTGGATAGGGGTGAAATTGTAGAACCGACGTCTGGACTGTCAAATTACAATTGTGTTTGACCAGCTGAAGAAGTCCATGTCTGGCCGCACATGCTTTGTAGTGGCGGTTGAGATAGGTGATATCAATTCCTTTTTGCCATGTAAATCTTTGTTGGCAATATTTACATACTGCTTTAGATTCTGCAATGCTATCGACGACTTTTCCTATTGAAACCAACTTAAAGTGATCCCAACATTTTGCTTATTTTTTGACCTTTCGCTTTCCCCTTGCGTCTGGAATATTTAATTCAGCATCTTCATCTTCATGTTCCGTTTCGGGAACGTTAATATCATCCAAATCAATTGGACTGTGACTTCCCTAACTGTGAATGTGAACATCTTCAGGTATCGGTATGTCGGCAAATTCATTTGGAAATTAATTTTGAGGCGTCGTAGGCGATTCTCCATGATGTGGTAGTGGCTCACATCCTGTATCGAACAATCTCTCAACAAATGAGCGTAGATCTATTTGTTTGATTGTTTATCATGAAATTTTAACCAGATGAATATAAATATAGTGAGATTGTGAGAATTGAGGATTGGATGAATTGAAATTGTAACTAATAAACTGTAAAAATTGAATTGATATTGTATATTTTGCAGCACAACTTTCAACTACACAAGAGAGTAAAAATAAAAAAAACTCGATAATTAAAATAATAGAAGAGAGTTGAGAGGATTGTAGACTTGTGGTTTTTATAGGGGGGGGGGGGGGAATAAATAAATAAATTTCAGTGACCAAAACGGTCACTTTTTTTAAAAAGTGACCGTTTTGGTCACTAGGACAGGCTCGTGGCTTGTTATGGCGAGTCGCTCGTGGGCTCGGCTCGCCTCCCGGCCTGGCTCGCTCAACTCGTGCTTGGGCTCGTGATTTTACGAGCCCAAACCGCCCACGAGCCTCCTTTCACGAGTCGAGCCGACCAGTGGCTCGGCCCGTTTGACATCCCTACACGAATAATTTCTTTGGTGCTGACCAGTTGGGATAAGGTGGAATCGGTGCTTCACTGCTTTGTACAAGGTGGTGATTAAACGTAGTGTTGCAATATATAGTAGCAGATATGACTAGAAATTGATAAGAAATTTTACTCAGTCAAACTCAATTGTTATTAATTTCTAGTAAACACATCCAGATGGACGGGAAATAGCTGAAAAGATCGTTATTTTTCACCGTGGTTCCTATAATAGTCACAGACGGTTGTTTTTACAAGTTCTAATAGATAATTTCATATCAGTAACACGTAGAAGGCCAGTATCAATAATGCATAGCTGAATTTGAATCTGGCAGTTCCAACAGAAAGAGATGGTTTGGCGTCTCCTGTATTTCCTGCAAACGAAAATTCAACGAGTTTATTAGAATCTGGTAAATTGACAAACTTATAATGGAAAATTTGAGAATTCATGGCCTGTAATGCGTACAGATACTATAGTTTGCAGATGGATATTTATGTTGGACTATGTAGAGCCCAATCAAAGTATAAATTTATCCCTGCATGTGCTTTATTCGTTTCTACGGATATGAAGGATCAAGGCTTAATCTGTAACAATGACCGAAACACGTGCCAATTACTTCAAGAAATTTAGCCTTTCCCTACAAAATTTTCATTGACAAATTAAGTTTTGTAGGCGAAGTTCACTTTTCCCCATGAAAATGATGTTTTGTAAGGCTATGATTTATTTCAAGTTTTTCTACAGTAGGATGCCTTGTGCTTACAAATTTTTTTTCTTTTCTAGACAAGATATATCTTTCGCACACAAAATATTCGACATGTTTGTAGGCTAATAATTAGCAGGAAAATTTTCCTTATACTATTTATAATTTTAGTCTCCAAAAAATAATTTGAAGTGAAAGATAAAAAAAATGAAAAATGAAAGATTGAGAGAAAAATAATTTTTTTTATCAAAATAAAAAATAACAAAGCCTAAATCTAAAAACCCATGACATACCCACTCTATTTGCCTCCAGAATTTTTCACCAAAAATTATTCTCGTTTTCAGCCTAACTTCATCATCGATTGCTACCATAATCTAATTAATTCAATTTGCCTACTCTCAAAATTTCTTGTGGATCCCATGGTTGCAATCCTAATCTCTTCATCCGCCACAGAGTTGATTTTTGGTCAATAAATTCTAGCTTAATCTACTATGTACAGATTTTGTGTTCTTCAAGCAGTCTTAAAGGTATGCCTATCAGCTGTGTTTTAATCTTTAATTAATTTTTCATCTTTATTTAATTAGATCTGGTGTTTCTATTGATGTTTCTGCAATCCGAAGAATTTCTTAATATAAACCATTGGATTTATATGACAGTATGTACGTGGGGACAAACACGATTTAGCCCAAAAAATAATTTGTAGTGCAAAGCAAAATCATTTCGTGGGCAGAAGTGGTTTAGCAAACGAATTACTTTGTCAGGGGAAATCTTACTCGATGAATTGTATTCGTTTTCAAAGGGTTTGTAGGAAAAATTTTAGCTCACAAATTTCAAAAATTTGTCATCTTATACTTATTCCCCAGATGTTTGCCCCAGAAATGTGCCCACAAAATTGTATAGTCCACAAAGGTTTTTCCCTACAAATAATAACCTTTCTCTACAAAAACATAAAATTTTTTGTAGTGAACTTACCAGTCGAAGATGCTTCATTGTTAAGTTTTGCATTCAAATCCTCATACCAAATGCTGCAATAGAAGCTAGAAAACACCCAAGCCCGCTTGCCACCAACTTTCAGAATATATTTATCGAGCAAATTTTTTAAACATTTGTCGCAAGCCGAAACATTGAGATCTCTTCTACATTGAACAAAACCACCCCTTTTCCCTTTCTGGCCAACATGCAGTATCCCCTCGTTAAACTTCAAGCGTTGACTTGGAGCAGTAGATACAAGTTTCCTCATGAAATTATTTCCTTGAGAAGCCACATTTGGATCTTCTGATAAATTTTTGAAAGTGGCTCTTGTATACAAGCTTTCGCTCTCTCCAGTGAAGTTCTTGATTGAATAACGTAAAAAACAATTTCTTAGCATATACGCAGAATCCGTGCTGTTTGCACACACGATGGATTTCTTGACTATGCTCTTAACACAAGTCGAACAATTTTGTGCAGAAATGCCGCCTCTGCATTGCAATAGGCCATAAACTGATGTAGAGTTTTCTCCCCATGTGGCTGTGTAGAAGCCATCGGGAATGGACAGGTTTGCAGAAAGGGAATCAAGAAGCTTATCGCGGCTAATAACGAAGGAACTTGAGATGTTACTGGTTGTATCAAAACAGAAATGATGAGGGGTTGAAGAAAATAAAGCAAGACAAGGGCAAGAAAATAGCAAGAAACATGAGAATATAACAAAACCATTCAATTGCAGTTGAACATGTCCACATTCACCATCTCTCACTTTTTTCTGATACATACGAACAAATTTGAGACTTTAGAGCATTCATTATATAGGAACTTGAGATATTCGAGGAAATTGGTCTGCTGACACACACACACACATATATAAACTCGAGATATTCAAGCAAACTGGCATTAGTTTGAACAAGTCTGCTGGAAAAGAAAATGTATATACACACAAATTGCCATGAAATATTTGTAGGAAGCAATAGATTTACAAGTATGAAGTGACCAATTTGGTTTAGTCATATTTTATTCTAATTTGTTCTTGAACAAATTTGAGAATTTAGAGCATTCATTATATACAAACTTGAGATATTCGAGCAAATTGGCATTAGTTTGAACAAGTCTGCAGGAAAAAAATATATATACACACACAAATTGCCATAAAATATTTGTAGGAAGCATTAGATTTACGAGTATGAAGTGACCAATTTGATTTAGTCATACGATTCATATATTTTATTCTAATTTGTTCCTAGGAATACAGGCTTCTTGTGCTGCATATGCCTTGACTTGCTGGCCTTCACTAATGATCAAATCTGGTGAATACTAACCATATTCCAGGACGTAACGGAAGAACAATATAAAAGAACGAACAAATAACGACAGTGGGCATGTTCAGGATTTAATTAAAAACATAAAATAAACACAATGTGGCTGCTGGGATTCGAGCCCAGGTCTCCACGGCCACAACGTGGAATTCTTACCACTAAACTACAGCCACTTTTATTGTTCAAACGTCTAAAAATTGTTTAATTGAATTATTATTTCTTGAAGTCAGCTCCAATGCAGACCACAGAGTCCATATATTTATGTTTTGTGTACATGATGCATTACAACCTCCATGTGAAGGGAGATCGTAAAAATATTTTATTGGATGCGGGTCCCATGTGAGGGGGTTCAATCCATTATGTCCACAAAAAGTGTACAAATAGACTAATTCTTATGTTTTTTGTGCACATTGTTATTTGTAACGTACCTTACTAAATATTTGCTTAATTTTAAAGAGTATGTTTGGCTAAGCATAAGTAAATATTACTTTTATTTTCAGGCATGATACATTATTATTTATGTTTGGTGGAAATTAAAATCAAGTTTTAATCCAAGTCAAAGTCAATAATTAATTTTAATGACATTTCATGGGATCCATAAACTTTTCAACTACACATTTCATCAGTTTCTATCAAAATCTACTAAAAATTTGATTTTAATCTCCCCCACTTTTTATTAAGTACATGAGTTGTTTATTTTAAAGATAATTCTTACCTCACTTTTAAAATAAGTAACTTGCTTATTTTCAATTTTAATTAACAGAAATTTTATTTATTCTAAAATTTACTTATATATATCCTAACAAGCTCAATCAATAATTGCACAAATCCTTATAAATTATTGAGGTAAAATTTCACCTAATCACGATTGCAATTGCTAACCAAATGATACATCAACAGATAACGGTGTCATAAAGTAGCTCAATGTAGAATGACATGACATGTTATTATTCTGATTCGCTAAGGTTACGTCCGTTTTCGAGTCAAGAACTTATTGGATTATTTTTTATAAAATCAACATCACACCCATAAAAGCATATAGTAAAAATGATTCAAAGTGTCATAAAAAAAAAAAGAAAAAAGAAAAAAAAAAA